TGCTTCCATTCTGATATGAAAAAGGGCTAGTTTTTAAACAGCAGCTTTACCCTTATGGATAGGCTTCAGCTTATATAGGAGAAGCCTCTAGAGACTTGAGGGAAGACCTGTTAAATTATATGCAACCAGAAGTACGACTGTAGTGGAAAACAGTGGCTAATATCCATCAAACCTACAAACATAATTGGTAGGAAAACAACAATGGCATTTGTATAGTTAAGAATCCCAGCATCCTTTTCTCCTATTAACAGCAGCATTTCAATCTCAATAAAGCCAAACATTCAAGGCCACATTATTCCTTCTCTTGTTTCAGTTCTCAATGGAAGTATTTGTTTCTGTTCTACTTGTAGGCTTAACTACAGCTTTTCCCATGAACTGCTGTGCATATGCCAAAATGCCTTTTGCAACTGGTAACTCACTGGGTGCATTAGGTTCCAATTAATATAAAAATACTGGCTTCATAATGCTTGAAATATTTTGTGGAGTGAACACATTAAAAGAATTTAAAGCAGCAGGAAATGACTGTGTACAAGGAACTCTCCCCCCTCCAGTTAAATAATTCATCTGGTGAAAGCATCTTGTAATTTAACATTCTTTTTTTCATATTTAAGACAAAAAAAGAGAGATCTAATTCCCCTACATTAACAGTCCATTTAGACTGCACCATGAAGCACTTGCAAGGAAATGTCAAAACTGAGGATGATGTAACCTTAACTCGGCCCCTTGTGCATGTGAATTCATTTGGATATAATCTTAATTGCATCACGTATAAAGTTGCCAACAACAGATCTCTTGGACAGTCTTTCCAACAATTTATGTTTCTGGGTCCAAGAGCAGGGAAAGGGAAAGGCATTTAGGTCAGAAAAGCAGCAGGAGATAGAGAAATAGGCCCTTTTGGTAGCCAGAATATTTGGGAGCCTGCCCTGGCTTGATACAGCCATTCAAATGATGAGCTAGATTCACTGAGCTTTGCTGCTTGCATACCCTTTACAAAGTCTTGTCTCCAAGATGAGTGCTTAGCAAATTTAGAAGAAAAAAATCTCTATTTCATATGCTCAGCACACAAATGCCACATGTTGGTATGATCTGGGTCAGTCAACAGCCAATGGTCTTTTCTGTGAGGACTTTTCTGTAAGGGCTTTTTCTAGGATAAACAGCAACTATCAGAAGTCAGTCAGTTGGGCTAAAAGAATGGGGAAAAACTGATCTCCCTCCTCTTCAGCTTTGCCCCCGCTAAACACTAACCAAACCTTTTCTTCACCAGGACTTGCTGAAAATAGGACTTTCTAAATGAAATCATTTTACACCCCAAAGCACAGCTTTCACTGATGCACCTGCTTTGATATGCAGTCAGTGAACTTAAGTAAACACCCTACAGGATTGTTCTCCATTTGAATTTATTAGTTGTTATCAAGGAAAGATAATTAGCTGTGCTGAAGTGCTGTGATAATCAGTAGTATGAACTTGTTGTTACCAACAGAAACAGATTGGGATTTTTGTACAGTGCAGGAATGTGACAGCCTCTCTGTTTTCTACACAAATGAGTGTGTGGCCGTGGGGAGGATGGGTTGCGAGGGGCATGGGAAATGTGCATCCTTAGCTAGTGTAAATCATCAGAGCTCTGGTAACTTCAGTGATTTGCTTCAGTGGCAGATATGCCTTTTTAGTTTTGTGGTGCTTCTGTACAGACTGTCTCAGAAGAGGCAACCTGGTAAAGAAATGCAAGACTACATTTTTTTTAACAGTATAAAATTTATCTAACTGCTGGGCAAGTGAAATAGCAAATACTTTAGTTTTGCTGTTCAATGTTATACCCCCCCTCTCTTTTGTATGGTGTCAGATATCAACTTCCAAATCTATAAGCCACTGCCTGGTATTATTATTCAATGTGCAGATTCCATCTACTCCATCTGGGCATTTATAAAGATTGTAGCTTTTGATTAAGTGCTGTGTTTGAACACATTTACACAGGGGGTCGCTCAAGACGTTAATCTTGTGAAGTGTTGTTTTGAAGCTTCTGTAGCCAGATCTCAGTCTGTTCAGCTTAATCCATGCTTCTCTATCAAGGTCAAGTCCAATGGGGGTCTTGTTTGGTGTTGGTATAAAACACTGTAGGAACAGGTCTGACCTTTCCCAGTGGTTGGCCCACTCCACTGCTGCCCATAGGTCATCTCTTCCACTAGCTTATTGGCACTGACCAAGCTACATTACTTACATCTGACATAGAAAATGGATTTGAAACGAGGTAGAAAACAGGCATAGTCTTTATCAAACTTACAGCTGCCTATAACAGTGTATGGCACCAATGCCTCAAACATAAACTGTACTCTATGATACCTGACCACAAGCTATGCACTTGATCATGAACAGAATCTCCAGCAGATCATTTAAACTTGCTACTAGACAAGGAGAAAAAAAGCAGAGTACGAACTCTGAAGAATGGAGTTCCACAAGGGTCAGGGATAGCACCAGTACTTTTCAACATACATAGACCTCAGACTTCCCATACACAACATCTAAGCAATATTATATCATAATAAATTGTATCATTTTACTCTGTGGTCATCCTGGTTACTCAGAGTAAAAGCAAAACAAAAAATTGAGGTCGGGGGGAAGGAATAATGTTGCAATTTACCTTACATCAGAGGTGGGCAAAATATGGCTGGTAGGCCACATCTGGCCTGCCAGGCTAGTCTATCTGGGCCACAGGGCCCCTAAAAAAAAATTAGAAAATTGTTAGCTGTCTGTGGCTGCCTGTCTGAGATGCCAGCAATGGCAGCAACCAGGAGAAGCCCTCAGCAGGACCTAGCAGCCACAGCAGAAAGTCCTGCCCTGCCCTGCCTCACCCCTAGCCCCCTCCACCCCACCCCTAACTGGAAGCCTCTGGCTAGCAGAGGCTTTTGGCCTGGTGACCGTGGATGCTATTCCCTTGCCCTCCCTCCATCTGAGAGTGCAACTTCAGCTAAGAAGGGAGTTGGAGGGGAAGGTGTCCCGGCCATGCAGCTGGGAACTGTGGTGCTAGAGCGGCAGGCAGGTGGGGAAGAGCAGCGGCAGTGGGCAGGAAGGTGAGGAAATGGTGGGGGG